ACTCCACTCCACTCCACTCCACTCCACTCCACTCCACTCCACTCCACTCCTAATCTGAACCTAGCTGGACTGTTGGATTCACAAAGACATCCTCGCTGTGTTCAACATACTTTAACTTGGATACAATCTGGGTTTGCACACATGCACAGAATCAGAAACTGAAGAAGCTAAGCTACCCCAAACTAATCATAGCTAGAACTAAGCAGGCCTAGCATGTTGCTCAAACGCAGTGGCAAAGTCTAGCCAATCTGATAAGGGGTGACCCTGAAAATAGGCTAATCTGCCAGAAAACATGCATAGTTTATGGTGACAGTGCTTACTGATAGAGCTTAGAAAGTGAATGGCGCGATTAAGATTTAGTGAGATCTTACTGATTCCAAGACCACCATATACAGATCTAAGATTTTTTCAGTGGAATACATTTCCATAATCCAATGACAGAACTGGCTGACCATTGACAAGGTTCAACCAAGAAAACATTCTGACAATATCTAATTCAAACACTGTAAAGATCTCAGTAGTGTTTTATACTAGATTTGAGTGGGGGGGGGGGTCTTTCAAGACACAGAGATCAGCAGCCCTAGCCAGCATAACCAAGGATGGGGAATGTTGGGGACTGTAGTTCCTTAAATACCTGGAGGACTACAGATCTCTCACACTGCTGTAGCGTAAACAGTGTTGTCACTTTTCTCTATTATGGCTCCAGCGTTGGTTGAAAAAGGGTCTATCGCATCATTCCCCATACACCTCCCGCGCTTTTAATCATTGCACAGGAGGCAGAAATTCAAATGCTAAAGCTTCTCATAGTGATTTGCAAAGCTCTACCTGTTGAGTAGTTGCTTACTCAGGGAGAAACGCAGCAGCCTGAAAACCGAAACGTCATACTTTATTTTAACCTCGGTTATAATCGCCCAGAATATATCTGGGATTACAGCCCCCAAATGAATCGTTGGCAGCCAGGCGGGCATCTTTTCGAGATTTTTTTTTTTTTTTTTGGTTCGCTTCTTCCTATCTCCAATGGAACTTCTGAAACAAAGTTTGTTTGTTTTCAAAAACAAGACTCCCAATCTATCCGCAGCAACTGCGTTGTGCAGGCAGCCCAACGGGGCGGCAGCCGCGAAGGGAGCGCCCTGGCACCGTAAACGCGCGGCGGGCACCATCGCCGCCTTCAGCGGCTCCACGGGCAGCGCGGGGGGCGCAACGGGCAAGCCTCGCGCGAGAAGCGAGGAATGGGAGGAACAGGTTGGGAGGCGGCGGAAAATCCCGCGGGGGAAGTGGACACACGCGGATTTGGCCACGAGGGGCTTGCGAG